CGAAGTGATCTTCATTCAATCGAAATGAAGGCAGTGCCAGCTCAATAAAATGGATAAGGCCTGAAGATACATTTGATGCCATGTCAGTTTCGATCGATTGAAGCTAACGTGGCATCAAAAATATCTTCGGGCCTTATCCACTTTGCTGAGCAAAATCTTCGATCGATCGAAATGCCTGCTGACAGTAAGCTGTCTAATTCCCAAGTGCGCCAATTTCTACCTATCGTGCATAGCTACAAATTTCCTCCAATCAAAGGCTATTATTCTGACTTGGTCCTCACTCAAAGGAGTGTGTAATTGATTTATTAAACATCATTGTAGTAGATAGATATTAGAAATTATTATTACAAAATATAGAATAGATTGTTTTTCTCTCTAAAATTAGGGTTTTGAAGAAGAAAACAAGGATGAAGATGATGATGCCAACCTCCAAGCTAGCCCTTGAGGGTTCCATGTCCACTTCAATGAGTGGCTAAATCCTTGTCTTGGGGCTAGAGATAGCCCCTAAGCTTGCTTCTCAAGCCTAAATTTTGTGTATTTTTGGAGATTTTAGTTGTAATAGATGTTTTGACCATGAATAAATATAGATCTTGTGATTTTTACTTGATTTGTATGGATTAATGCTTTCAATTGATCACTTAGCTCTAGTCATATGTCTATGTATGCTAGAATTGATGTTCATGTTTTTATCTCTAGATTTAATGAATTTGATGTATGTTTATGTGTATTGATGATGTTAATCTAGTGATGGTCAAGGCATGGTGCTTAATGGAATACTTTTGTAATTTATTTGATGGTTCACACTTGTTTCTTGATGGATTGTATCATATCTCTAGTTTAATTAGTTTAATTTCATATCTCTAGCCTAGTTGTAGTGTAGATGCTTTAATTTCTTTGGTAGGTGAGCAATCTATTCTTATTTCTTGATGTTCCATACTTTTGAATACAAAGAGTGTATATCTCTAGATATTTGTGTGTACATTAATTGTGGTTTTATTGAATGGAATCTTGGTCTCATTTGATAGGTTGTGCTATTCATTAAAAATTGGCTAGACAATTTATACTTATTTGTCATCCATGCTTAGTTTCAATTGATGTCACACACAAACACAAAGTTACAATTTAAATTTTCCCATTAATGTATAATTGCTAGTATTTGATGAAGTGAAGCTTAGTGGTGACTCTATGTCCCAAGACCTCTCTTCTATATCTTTTCCCTATTTTCTAGATTGCTCTCTTTTTAATTGCATTAATCTTTAATTGCATTGTAGTTTAGTTAATTAATCACCAATCAATCTTTGATCATTCGACCTACTAATTCGACATTAATTTCCATCACAAATACACCTCCGATCCCTTGGGATGATCCCTAATCACCCTAGCCATATTTTTAGTTAGAAGTGGTAGTGGCATTTCATAAATTTAAACTTGGCCACACTTTTGCAATTTGGTTGCTTCGGCAAGCAACACACCAAGTTTTGGCACCATTGCCGGGGATTTGGCACTGTCGTATTTGGAAAATAAATAGGAATTAGTACTCTTTTAATCTTGTCTTTACTTTTATTTTATTTTATCTTTAGTTAGTTATTATGTTTGTTCTTGATTGGCTAGGTGAATTGAGCCAAGAGAGTGAAGCAAAGGGAAATTGAAAAGCAAGAGAAGCAAAAGAAGCCAAGTTAAGCTAAGCAAGAGCACAAAAAGCTCAAAAATAAAATAAAAATTGCAAAGCAAGCAAAGCAAAGAAAAAATTGAAAAATCATTTGAAGTTGCTTAAGGACCCTTTGTGAGCTTTTCTAAACTCAATCTCTAGTTAAATCGTGAGCCCGTGTGGAGGCAAGTTTTTATTTTCTTAGATAGATCGTGAGCCCGCATGGAGGCATTTTAATTTTTCTTGCATATTGTTTAAAGCATGGGAACATGGGATCATCGTATGTCGAGGATTGTTGATTATTGATTTGTTGTAGGGGTGAAGTGTTTTGTTGATTTTATTGTTGTGTTACTTGATTTTTGTGCGGTCTTAACCAACCCTTCATCATTCTAATGGAAAATCTAGAGGGTCATCTAGGTTATTTAGACCCGAATTTCGTGGAACATCCCCATTTCAACCAATGTCCTCCCGGAGTTCAAGTTCCAATTCCTCCAATGATTCTCCGTTATCATTACAATTTCCATGAAAACCATGCACCAACTTGCATCATGCTTCCTAATTTTGGGGCCGATCAATATGAAATTAAGCCTGAGACTATTCAAATGTGTCCACTTTTCTATGGCTTAAATGATGAGGAACCATATAAACATCTTGATGAATTCCTTGAAATATGTTCCACTATGAATGTCCCGGAAGAGGTCCTTAGGTTGCTCATTTTCCCCTTCACTCTTAAAAATAAGGGAAAACATTGGTTCAACAATTTGGGAGCAAATTCAATAACTTCTTGGATACAAATGTAAAATGAATTTTTGAAAAAATTTTACCCCGTTAGTTTGACCAATTCAATGAGAACCGCCATTAGAGAATTTTCTCATGGGAAGGGAGAACTTTTACATGAGGATTAGGAAAGATTGAATGACTTACTAAGGAAATGCCCACACCATGGTGTTCCAAAATGGCAAGTGGTTCAATATTTCTATGAAAGATTATCCGACATTCACAAGGACATTGTTGATACTTCATGTGAGGGTTCATATTTTGGGAAACATGAGGATGATGTTTGGCATCTTTTTTAAAAAATGAGTGAGAATTCTTTACATCAATATCACACTTCTCGGTTAGGTCATAATTCTAATGAAAAGAAGGAAAATTTGAAAGTGTGTCAAATTGAAAGTCCATTAGAGATTGTAGCCGAAGTTAAAACTCTTTCTCAAAAACTTGATAAATTTTTATTGAGTCAAAAACTGGTTATCAAATCATCTCATTTTCATCATCATATCATTTTTGTGAGCCGTGCATGACATATTCTAATGTTTTACATTCTACTTCCAATTATTCCCATGGACATGTGTTTAATGAACACCTTGAACAAGTCAATGCTACATTTACTCGCCCTCATTCAAATGTTTATATCCCGAGGTGGGATGACAATTCAAGTTCTTTTCAAGCTAAAAATTTTCAAAATCGATGTGTTCCTCCTCATAAAAGAAATGAAGGTTCTCAAAATTTTGTTTCATCTTCTTCCTATCTTCAAAAAATGAACCAATTTTCACATCCTCAAGTCTATGAAATTCAAAATGGTTTTCATCACTCTCATGCACTTCCTAGTGATTCTACATTTGAAGATAAGGTTTTGGTGGCTTTGGGTAGTTTGGAAATGAACACCAATTTATTGCTTTCTCATTCTCAATCGATATCGAAGCTTGAATCCCAAATCGGGATGATAGCTAATGCATTGAATGCGAGAAAGATTGGTAAGCTACCTAGCCAACCTAAAAGGAACCCAAAAGCCCAATATTTTGTGGAAGCAAACTCTACATCGGGGTGTCCTTCTCAAGAACAAGTGCAAACCATTACTACTTTGAGAAGTGGCAAGCAAATTGACAATGGGGTTGAAAAACCAAGTGAAATTAGTGAACCGGTGCAACCAAAAGTTGACACCCGTCCCGATTCCAATCCTACTCCTACTTCCTTGGAGGAAAATGTTCCAAATAGAAATTCTCAATCTTCTTTATCATCTCCTCAAGTTGCAAAATCTTATGAGCCAAAAGTTCCATTTCCATATGCATTGAGAAAGACTTCGCCTTTTGGGAGGCAAGAAGGAAAAATCCATGACATAATGGAGGTGTTTAAGCAAGTGAACATAAATCTACCTCTCTTAGATGCAATTAGGCAAATTTCACCTTATGCAAAATTTTAAAAAGATCTTTGCACACAAAAGAGAAAGAACAAGGGACAAGGCCCTAAAAAAGTGTTCCTCATGGAGCAAGTGAGTTCCATCATTTAACATAACACTCCACCTAAGTTCAAAGATCCTGGTGCTCCGACCATCTCATATGTGATTGGAAACCATGAAGTTCGTAGAGCTCTTTTTGACTTAGGGGCAAGTGTTAATTTGATTCCTTACTCCTTGTATGTCCAACTAGGATTGAATGAATTAAAGCCAACCTCGGTGGTGCTTCAATTAGTCGATAGATCCATCAAAACTCCTAGAGGCATGGTTGAGGATATTCTCATTAAGGTTGACAAGTTCTATTTCCCGAATAATTTTGTGGTTCTTGATACTGAACCAATTGTTAATCCTACCAACCATATTCCAATCATCTTAGGAAGGCCATTTCTTGCCACCGCAAATGCAACTATTAATTGTAGATCCGGGGTTATGGACCTTTCTTTTGGCAACATGATGGTTAAGATAAATGTTTTCAATACAAGTCGACATCCCATAGATGAAGACGAGTGTTGTCTCATAGATGTCTTGGATGAGGTTGTTGAGGAATCCATTCCTTCCATGATAATAAAAAAACCAACCAAGGATAATCTTTCATCCATCCTTTCCGAGGATCCTCTTGCATCTTGTCTCCTTGAAATGTGTGGTAATTGTGGGTTTGATAATGAAGGATCAATGAGTGAAGTAAATGATTTAATGGACTTAGTGGCGAGTTTAGACTTTCCACCTTGGAGAGCTCCAAAAGAACCTCTTCCTCCACTCTCTAGTACTCCACCGGTTCCATCTTTAGTCTCTCCACCCATTCTTGAGCTTAAAACACTACAAGAAAAATGACTTTTAACAAGGGGCGAAAAACAGTTCTACAACGGGCATGGCCCATTGTGGTATCCCCTGTCGTTGTTGACTCAGGGTCTTCTACGACGGTTCCAGCCCATTGTAGAAAGAGGGCTTTCTACGATGGGCATTGCCTATTGTAGAAATATTGCTTTTTACGACGGTCTGTGCCCCTTGTAGAAAGAGTGTTTTCGATAACAAGTTTGGCCCCTTGTAGAAAGCAATTTAAAAAAAAAAAAAAAAATTCAATGGTTGCCTTACATTGCCCCAACACAAAATCAGTACAACTAAACACAACAATAAATCCATCCAAAGGTATATATATCCACACCAAGCCTTATACAAACAATATGATACAAGATGAAAAAGAGTTGCAAGTCATATCAAAATAAAAATTTACATCTACATCCCACTAATCACAAACAAATAGATCCCAAATTTATTTTATATTCATTAAAGATTACAAAGTTCCCTTCATTGTTACCATCTGTACAAGGATTAGAAAAGTTTCAATACCAACACAACCAGGGCATTTCCCATCACGCTCAGATTGAAAAAACTTTCCCTCCAAAGCATTCATGGCAAGACTCCAAGCAGCTAAATGTAACTGAAAACAAAGAAGAAAATTTTACCCGAAACTCTTACTAAAGAACTCAAGAAAGAAAAAATATATTAAAAATAAATAAATCAAGGCATACATAGATCTATGAATTAATATGTATGAAATAATTGATAACAAAAAAATGTTCCTATAAAAGTGTGACAGATAATAGGTTCCCTTGGTAATATCTCCGATTTGTATTAAAATGAGCTACTAGCCTACCATTAATTGTCTTAGGCCATTAATCTTTCAAAAAAAACTGGTAATTAATAAAACTGAAGCTCTCAACTTAAGTATTATGATGTTGGGCTGAAATTATACAAATTTAAGATCAGTCTCACATCAAATACCGGACATAAGCAAACAACAAATAATATTTAGGCACATTATCTTCATCAAGAGAATCTGGTTAGGAGGCTTACACAACCATTAGAAGGAAGTGCCTTGTAAATTTCTATGTATTGTTGTCCGTGCAATAAAAGATGTGGATAAAATCTAGCAACAGAAAGCAGAATTTTAGTTATTTTTCAATTTACCAAAGTGAATGCATGTATCGATGATTGATATAAAGTTATAGGAATTGAGTTCATTTAACGGAATTAGAATCTCTTGAGTGTAATTTACCCTTCGATAAAATATTGGAATCTCTTGATACTATATATTTATTTCCAATAACAGAGATCCAACAAAATGAAAGAACATAGAGGAGGTTTCTCAAGGAAAACAAATTTTAACAGTTACGTGTGTGGATAAGTTTTAGGATCAGATACATCACGTAAATAACCTGTAGCTTGTGAACTATACCATAACACCCTTTTAATTTCTAACCCATCAAAAGTAATTTTAAAACAAAACTTTCATTTTCATCCAAGGAATCCAACTATTTCAGTTCTTTCAATGCTAGAAAAAATGCAGAATTACTATAGCCAGTAAGTCGCCAATCAAGTCAACAGAAGGAAACAAATTATTTGTAACCATTAATACCTGCCATCCTCATCTTCCACAATTTGAAGCTATTGCTTCTCGTCTTCAGTTAAATCCAATGCAACCTAAACAAAAAAGGGAAATAAAGTTAGTTACTAATCAAGTTTCTTTTCTTTTGGCAGGCAACCGAAATCAGAGGTGTAAAATCAAATCTCTTAGAAGGTTTCGCACTATAGGGGTGAACTTTACATACTCAAAAGCAGGAGTAATGCGCGAGTTATTTTCAGAAAATAAGTACTGTTAACCAAGAATTGACTCTAGAGGGGGGGTGAATAGAGTCAATGGCCAATTTTCGTAATTTATAGATTTATAATTTCTAATCAACAACTTAAACAATTATGCAATAATTAAATTAAACAATTAATAGCATAATTGTAAAAGAGATAAGGGAAGAGAAATTTCAAACAATGACTCGGCGATTTTAGCGAGGTTCGGAAACTCCTACTCCTCGGCTCAAGACTCCTCTTAAGACTTCCCAATCCACTAGTGCACCTCCTTACGGGTGGAGAGCAAACATTTACAAGAAGTAACTCCTTGTTTCACCTTGCTAAGAGAACAACCCCTCTTAGTCTTCCTATGGGTCACACCAACCCTTACAAATTGAAGCTAGCTTGCTTCTTCTTCCTTAGGCCACACAAGCCTTTACAAATTGAAACTCAATTTTGTTGCATACAAATATATCTCTCAAAAGATTGATATGCAAATCAAGGCTCACAACTAGAGTATAGATGAATAGATTGAAGCTCAAATTCTATGAATGAAATGAATGAGAGAAGATGAAATATGTGAAGAAAATAAGCTTTTACAATCTCTCGTGTGTATAATAGAGAAAAAACTCTATGAAGATAAAAGTTAGAGCAAAAGCCCTTTGAGTGCTTAATTAAATCTCTCAAAATAGAATAAGAGTGAAATGAGAGAGAAGAGAAGATGAAAGAACAAAAGCTCTCTTGAAATGTAATATTATGTCTCTCAAAAATGGTAGTGTTTTTGCTTCAGCAAAATGAGCCTTCCTTATATAGACAGCCGTAACTTAATATGTATGTTAGAAGTAGTTGGAAGACTTAAATGCAGAAAAGTGCCGTTGTAGATTCAAATAACTTAGAAGAACCGGCTCTACAAAAAATTGGAGGAGGCTCCAATAAATGGGAGGCGGCTCCAATTCACAAAATGCATTCTACGACACACAATTTGGCTACTGGAGTGCAAAGAGGCGGCTCCTATAATTGGGAGGCGGCTCCAATTGATAAAATGTGCTTGCTTTAGTTTTAATGTTTTGGATTTTGACAGAAAATGGCATGACTTCAAATGGATATAACTCAGTCCATGAAACTCCAAATGAGGTGAAATTTAAGTCTAAATTTATTGCCTTGAAGTCAGCTTTCTAAATCCACTGGCCTTGCTCAAAAATTATAACCACAGAAATGGTTATGGTCGTTTTAGTGCAACCTGGTCAGAATTTTCGCAGACCAGAGATATGCATTTTGTAATGCTCATATCTAATTCAATTCAAATCCTTTTTAGGTGAAATTTGAGTCTAAACTCAAGAGATCGAAGTCAGCTTTCTAATGCACCTAGCCTTACTTAAAAATTCCAACTACAAAAATAGTTATAGCAGTTTTAGCATAGGCTGGTCTGGAAATTTTCTGTGCTGAAAATTGCTTCTTTTGAGATAACCATCTTTCTAGCACCTAGGACTTTGATGAATGGTTCAATTTAGTTCAAGACCTATTTCTAAGAGTCTAGGGACATATAAGGATGATAAATATCAAGTTCATTGTGTCCTAGAGTCATTTACTAAATTATAGCAACAGAGGCTTTAAAGATGAAATATTAAGTTCAATGCCTTTTCCTTTTCTTTCTAGACACCAAAGTAAATCTTATGATTAATGTGCATGGTCCTAGCATTTCTAACTCAAGTTGCGAGTTCTTTCAAAGCTTATGCAAGCTTGAACTAACCCTTTCTTAGCAAAAACTTCATATGACAATATCTATGAATGAAGTGCAAAGTCTATTACTAAGGATATAAGAATATGTGAATAATGATAATATGCATGATCCTATAGAGATGAGCTTCAAATGGATTCATAAATACTTTGACATTGAATCCAAAACACTCACCATCCTATCTACCCCTTTTCTTCATGCATTGTCCATGATCGTTTAGGCTTGAGGTAGTATTGCTTTCTTTCTTCCTTTGAGTTGTTTTCTTGCTCATTGAAGTCCAAGCTATCTTTGGACATTGCATTTTGTTCCTTGCAACTTCATGTCTTCATTGTATCCATTTCTTTCCTTAATGTGATCTTGAATAATGGAATACTTTGAATGATCTTTAGTGCTTCATTGAGGTCATTCTTTGAATGTGAATAATCTATATAACACTCAATATAAACATTAGTCCTTAAACACCATTAATGGTTTGTTATCATCAAAACACCTAGATTGTCATTGGATAAAACCCTTAAGGTCAACAATCTCCCCCTTTTTGATGATGACAAAACATTGATGTGTTCATAAGCAAATGGAGTAGCATTTGAAAAATGCTCCCCCCTATCAAAGTGCATTCATTGAACATAATGTTATAAAATGGCATGTTTGATATATCATAAATCATTTTAGATCATTTAACACATCACATTTCTCTCCCCCTTTGGCATCTCAAAAAGGTGGGAGGTCAAGACATCTTCTTTTAGTATTGATCATTTAGCATAGAGAATTGACATGGTGATGTAATGATAATCAAGAATTGGCAATAGTAGTTGTTACTATAATATGTTTTAGGATGAAACATATAAGCAATTATATCATAAGAGGCCAATTTCATTGACAACATGAGTTCGAATCATCATTTAAGGTTCATGTCATATACAAAAGTATACATAATCAAACATGAAACAAAAATGAAGCATAAACTAGAATAAGCCTAAAGGCAAACAACCTTTTAGAGGCAAATTTTAGAACTCAAGACTACTTCTACCCTAATATATTTCTTCATATTTGATATCCTCAAGAAAGAGGAAAATATCATCAAAATCATGAAAGTTCATAAGAATGAATATAATGACCAATAAGTCATTTTAAGACATGTTTAACAAAATACAAGATAAGTCCTTTAAGCTTAGTATAACATGTAATGTTTATACATAAGAGATTATTGATAATCTCCCCCTATGAACATGCTCCCATCATATATTATTCAATGATTGTCCAACTAATGGAACAATAAAGCAATGACATAACGTGATAAGATAGAGAGTTGAATCATGCTAGCAAATTCAAATCACATAATCCAAAACAAGCCACTTTTTATGAAAATCTTCATATAAACATTTTAAGATGAGTATCATGATGAGATTATCATAATAAATAATTATGTCTAAGGATAATTATAATTATGCCAATTGTTATCAAGAATGACCCATAATACCTACTATGATGTAGATTTTCATAGTATAAGAGCAAAGTAAAAAACATAACAAAAAAATTAGTTTCTCTAGTAAGCCATTATAGAATATTCACCAATGATTGATTAAAGTGATGAAAATGAAAACTTCAACAATTTTAAGGAATGCATTATAAATTCCTATTCTTACTTCTCATGAAATGGCTCTTCAAAGAAGATTTTATCCTTGAGGATCTTAACAGAGGACTTATTTGATTTCTCATTATCTCAAGTCCATATAAACATTTTTAAGTCTGAAAAACCTCATTTCATATATGCAAGAAGTGATACCAATAAAATGTAGATACGCAATTAGAATCACAAAAGCATATAAATTCAATAGAACCTTGCAACACACTGCCCAAATGAACCATAAACAACACATGTTTAGAACTTATTCAAAGATAAATTCAAAACAGATGGGGTTTGATAATAAACTTTATGCAATATGTCTATAAAATTTGATCTATATATAATGAATTAATAGATTAAACAAAAGACACATGGTAGTTTCTGCATAAATACTAGAAATTTGAAATTTTCAAAAGGTAATTGAAACCATAGATTAAGCAATTCTCATTAGAATGAGTCTTTTACATGTGAGAGAGAAAAGCTACAGTGTGTACCAAGGTTTAGTGAATGATGGATTAAAAGTGATGAATTTCAAAAATTAATCACTGAAGGTTCATCTAAAAAGCTAGAACACAAGAACTTTAAAGGAAATTTGATGAAAGAAACTTACTTGTGAAGATGCCCAAGAAAGATGAAATGTTGCTTAGCCAAAATGCTCTCTGGAATGAAGATGGTTTATTTTAAAAAAACCTATTGCTGAGGTATTAAAATGAGGGACAATGGATTGGAGCCGGCTCATGTGGAATTGGAGCCAGCTCTTGATTTTTGGAGCCGGCTCTTGATGTTTTTGGAGCCAGCTCTTTTGAGTCTTTGAGAGATCCCGAGACAAAGAAATTGGATGCAGGTTTTGGGGAGCCGGCTCATGAAATTTGTTGATCCGGCTCTAGAGATGCCGAGTGCATGAAATTGTGATTTTCTTGGATGCAGGTTAGAGAGGCGGCTCTTGAATGAGTTGATCCGGCTCTTATTCTCTGTAGAGGCGGCTCTTAATTAGATTAGAGCCGGCTCTGCTACTGCTACTTCACTGCATGACATTCTGATCTGTGATCATTCCAATTTCCCTTCTAAGCAAACAAAATCTATCCTCTTGGAGTGGTTTTGTGAAGATGTCAGCCAATTTGTTTTCCAGTATTTACAAATATAAGATCAATGTTGCCCTTAGAAACATGATCCCTAAGAAAATGGTATCTAATTTCTATATGCTTTGTCCTTGAATGCTGAATAGGATTTTTAGAAATGCATATTACACTTGAATTATCACATTAGTCATCTAAGCTAGAACAAATTGTTATTTGAATAACTTATTCCCAAGACTAAATTGTCAAATAGATATATGAATTTTATTTTTATAATACTTAAGGAGTTTTAATCCTTAGAAGAATTCATGTTTACTCAACATGCTAAGTTAAATCATTTTGCATGCTAGTGGTAAACATCTTTGCGTAAATCGTGAATGTTGATTCAAGGATAAAGTTTAAGTGCAATCAACATATTTTCAGCAATGGTTTTGAAAGCTATAATATATGAAGATATTAAGTTTGTTCAAATGCCATCATTCTTTAGAAACCCACAAAGCCTTTTGAAAGGAGCTCTAGGAGCTTATTTTTAAACACATAGGCTATAGATCATTTTAAACATATAGTTCAAAATATATGCAATTTAAATCTGTGTGGTTTATTTTTAAAGACCTTTGAATTTAAACTTACTGAAAAGATGCATTTGATAAAAATCATTTCATGCAAAAACATGTAGCATTTTTATTTCTTCAATCCAAAATCACATGTGCACAAAGGCATAGAATTAATTTCTCCTTTTTGGTGGATATCTTAGGAATAGTCTAGCTTAGTTACCAATGATAACTCAAGATACCTATTATAATTTGATTGTAAAAGAACAAGATGAATAACAACTTTAAGAAAGAATTAGTTCCTTTAATTAGCACAATAGAGTATTCATCAATGAATGCTCAAATGGATGGTGGTGAACACTTCAACTCTTAGGAAGACAATATAAATTCTCATTTTTCATTTTAATGAGATGGCTCTTCCAATGAGATTTGTTCCTTTAGGTATTCAAGATAGGACCTATATGATTTATCATTTCTCAAGCCCATCTAAACCTTTTCAAATTGAACAACCTCATTTTCTATATGCATGGAAGTGACACAATTAAGTATAGATAAAACATTTAAGATCAAAAAAGTATATAGATGACTTTTTATACATTTGATAAGGTTCACATGAAATAGCATTGATGATCTATATTAGATAATGTATGCTTTCATTTGATGGCATATCTTCCAATAACTCTTTCACAAAGATTTGGCATAGTTAATCTAAAGATCATTTGAAAGATAGAGAATCATTTCATGTTAGCATGTTCATAACTCATATGCCAAAACTACTTTTATGCAAAATATCAAAACATAGACATTTTTACATCTATTAGGAATAAGTAGCATATCAAAAGCATCATACTTAGAATTTCATGACTGAATTCTTCATATAAAAGCATATTTATGAGAAAGAAATTAGTTACCCATGGTACTAACTTCATTAGCTTGGTGGTAGTTTCTCAAAGTGATGCATCCTTTCCATTTTGTGAGTGAGAAAAAATCTAGGCATGATATCTCTTTTGTGCTCTAGGCACCAACTTGAGAATCCACTTATCCTTGCCCTTGAAGTTGTTCCCAAGTGTGATACTTCCTTCATAATTCTTAATTGATGCCCTCAAGTAACCTTATAAGAAAGGGTTGCATATTCTTCTTTTGGTACCCAAAGTTTCTTGGGTCCATATAAGTTAGGCAATGGAACATAAGTTCCTTTTGGAACCCAAATCTTCTTTGACCTCAATTTCTTTCTAAATGAACAATCATGAATCTTATGTCCTAATATTTTACAATAATTGCATTTAAAGGTTTGGGTACCACTCTTGACAAAATGATCATGCAAAGGCCTTTTTATTCTTAACAAACATGCATCTTTAGTGTGAGGAACATATTGTATCTCATTTTTGAAAAAGAAATCTCTTTAATTTCTAAGTAGAGTACTCAAATTCTCTTTTTCTTTGGTAAGCTTTGTTAAAATGTCATTTTGATCTTGAATTATTTTCTTTAGAGACTCATTTTCGAAAACAAAGTCAATTGATGACGACTCTTTAAAAAATACACATTTCATTTCATTTTTCAATGACTCATTTTCAATTTGAATCTTTTCTAATTCTTGCACAAGACAATGATTTTCCTTTTTCAAAGAGTCAATTTCCATTTGAACTTTTTCATGTCTTTGAAAGAGATCATGGTTTTCCTTTTTAAATGAAGCACATTTAACAAGCATCTTTTCTAACACACCTTGTAACTCTTTAAATGCATCAAGTAATTCATTGTGTGCATCAACTAGTTCATTATAAAAGGCTTCTAAATCAAAAAATTCATGATTAGAATCTACCTCATCTTCATTGGCCATGAGACAAAGTTTGTCCAACTCTTTGATGCCATTTGCTTCTCTGCTAGACGCTTGGAGAACTATACTCATCTTTTGAGTTGTTTCATTTTCTTCACTATAGGAAGAAGAGTAAGTTCTACTAAGAAAATTCAAATGATTAGTAATGTTAGAAGAACAAGAATGCATCTCACAACTTGATTTATTTTCATTTATGATGGAAGATACATCTTTTTCAATAAGCATAGGCATATATGATTCCTTACCACTAATTGATCCTCCATATGCTAATTCAAGTGAGTTCCAAATTTCTTTAGCCGTTTTACAAAAGATAATTTTGTTGAACGCATTTTTGCTTAATGCACAATAAAGATAACATGTGGCTAAAGCATTACATTGAACTAATCTATGATCATTTTCATCCCATTCACTTTTTGATTTAGGATTTTCATTTCCTTCAATAACTTTGGTTGAGATATGATCACCATTTTCAATAACTTTCCATAAGTCAATATCAATACTTTTTAGAAAGGCTCTTATTCTAATTTTCCAATAGATTTAATCATTTCCATCAAAACAAGGAGGTTGATCATTGGAATGTCCTTTTAAGTGTGTGATACTACCATTGTTGGCCATGATCGTACTCTAAGACGATTAAGTCCTTTAAATAGAGTTAGGCTCTGATACCAATTGTTAACCAAGAATTGACTCTAGAGGGGGGGTGAATAGAGTCAATGGCCAATTTTCGTAATTTATAGATTTATAATTTCTAATCAACAACTTAAACAATTATGCAATAATTAAATTAAACAATTAATAGCATAATTGTAAAAGAGATAAGGGAAGAGAAATTTCAAACAATGACTCGGCGATTTTAGCGAGGTTCGGAAACTCCTACTCCTCGGCTCAAGACTCCTCTTGAGACTTCCCAATCCACTAGTGCACCTCCTTACGGGTGGAGAGCAAACATTTACAAGAAGTAACTCCTTGTTTCACCTTGCTAAGAGAACAACCCCTCTTAGTCTTCCTATGGGTCACACCAACCCTTACAAATTGAAGCTAACTTGCTTCTTCTTCCTTAGGCCACACAAGCCTTTACAAATTGAAGCTCAATTTTGTTGCATACAAATATATCTCTCAAAAGATTGATATGCAAATCAAGGCTCACAACTAGAGTATAGATGAATAGATTGAAGCTCAAATTCTATGAATGAAATGAATGAGAGAAGATGAAATATGTGAAGAAAATAAGCTTTTACAATCTCTCAAGTGTATAATAGAGAAAAAACTCTATGAAGATAAAAGTTAGAGCAAAAGCCCTTTAAGTGCTTAATTAAATCTCTCAAAATAGAATAAGAGTGAAATGAGAGAGAAGAGAAGATGAGAGAACAAAAGCTCTCTTGAAATGTAATATTATGTCTCTCAAAAATGGCCTTCCTTATATAGACAGCCGTAGCTTAATATGTCTGTTAGAAGTAATTGGAAGACTTAAATACAGAAAAGTGCCGTTGTAGATTCAAATAACTTAGAAGAGCCGGCTCTACAAAAAATTGGAGGAGGCTCCAATAAATGGGAGGCGGCTCCAATTCACAAAATGCATTCTACAACACACAATTTGGCTACTGGAGTGCAAAGAGGCGGCTCCTATAATTGGGAGGCAGCTCCAATTGATAAAATGTGCTTGCTTTAGTTTTAATGTTTTAGATTTTGACAGAAAATGGCATGACTTCAAATGGACATAACTCAGTCCATGAAACTCCAAATGAGGTGAAATTTAAGTCTAAATTTATTGCCTTGAAGTCAGCTTTCTAAATCCACTGGCCTTGCTCAAAAATTATAACCACAGAAATGATTATGGTCGTTTTAGTGCAACCTGGTCAAAATTTTCGCAGACCAGAGATATGCATTTTGTAATGCTCATATCTCATTCAATTCAAATCCTTTTTAGGTGAAATTTGAGTCTAAACTCAAGAGATCGAAGTCAGTTTTCTAATGCACCTAGCCTTACTTAAAAATTCCAACTACAAAAAATAGTTATAGCAGTTTTAGCATAGGCTGGTCTGGAAATTTTCTGGGCTGAAAATTGCTTCTTTTGAGATAACCATCTTTCTAGCACCTAGGACTTTGATGAATGATTCAATTTAGTTCAAGACCTATTTCTAAGAGTCTAGGGACATATAAGGATGATAAATATCAAGTTCATTGTGTCCTAGAGTCATTTACTAAATTATGGCAACAAAGGCTTTAAAGATGAAATATTAAGTTCAATGCCTTTTCCTTTTCTTTCTAGACACCAAAATAAATCTTATGATTAATGTGCATGGTCCTAGCATTTCTAGCTCAAGTTGCGAGTTCTTTCAAAGCTTATGCAAGCTTGAACTAACCCTTTCTTAGCAAAAACTTCATATGACAATATCTATGAATGAAGTGCAAAGTCTATTACTAAGGATATAAGAATATGTGAGTGATGATAATATGCATGATCCTATAGAGATGAGCTTCAAATGGATTCATAAATACTTTGACATTGAATCCAAAACACTCACCATCCTATCTACCCCTTTTCTTCATGCATTGTCCATGATCGTTTAGGCTTGAGGTAGTATTGTTTTCTTTCTTCCTTTGAGTTGTTTTCTTGCTCATTGAAGTCCAAGCTATCTTTGGACATTGCATTTTGTTCATTGCAACTTCATGTCTTCATTGTATCCATTTCTTTCCTTGATGTGATCTTGAATAATGGAATACTTTGAATGATCTTTAGTGCTTCATTGAGGTCATTCTTTGAATGTGAATAATCTATATAACACTCAATGTAAACATTAGTCCTTAAACACCATTAATGGTTTGTTATCATCAAAACACCTAGATTGTCATTGGATAAAATCCTTAAGGTCAACAAGTACTTGAACAACATGTGTTGAAAATATAATAAAAGGAAATTCTGAAGAAAGAAAGCAAAACATGAGTCTGTAAAGTAGACCGTCTAGAAAGAAAGAAACATTGCAATTCAGCTTAATAGATTTAGCCAGTATTTAGTTGAATTAAAAAAATAAAATTATTACAATAACTAATGCTAAAGATTAAGCATTATTAACTTCTCCAATAAACAAAGAACCACCTGCACAACCAAGGTGATTTAGAAAACCCAAATTACATGTAAAATTACAATTAAAGAAATATGGGAGCCCTCAACATATATAGCTACTATGATGTAGCTACTTAACTTTCCTCAATTCTAATTCATCTATTGTCGAATGAAAGGGAAAAAAACAGCACAGGGAGAAGAAAGATACGCTTTTTTTGGCAAATTTTTTTGTAATAAAAAAATACCTTGGAAAAGAGCTCATCAACTAAAGTAAATATTACCAAGTAAGATCCTAACAGTTTAAATAAATTAAGTAGAAGTAGATTTAGAATGTTGTTCTGGGAGGATGTCTTGATCATGCACTCAAAATACTAAGTTGCTAACCATGCTTAGTTCATGGACCAGATACGGAGTATTAGATAGTCATATCAGCCTGGTGTAGCAAATGAATTATCTCCAACTATAAGAAATAATTTACTCAAATCAATTTCAATCTGGAAGCAACTTCATATATAATCACTTAATCAGTAATATCATTTTCTTGATCATTTACAAAACCCAAAGCCTGTCATTGTTAAACACTTTACCACAACAAACAAACACCTGAAACACCATAGTCATTAGCCGAATACAATAAAAGATATATCTTCTTAACTAGTCCCTATAAAGTTCCCATGACTAGCATTTCCTACCATTATAATTCTCTCCATAAATTTCAAACCTATACTTTTCCTAAACAAACATAAGAGACATCCAAATTGATATATTACTGATTACAAGACTGCTGAAAAGATCTTGAAACAAAATGGAAGGTCAATGTGTTGATGAGGCTCCAAGGTTCAATGAGTCATGCTATGAGGATTGGAAGATTGAAATGGAAGCTTATCTAATGTCACACTCATATGATGTGTGGGCAGCCACTACAAAGGGTTTAATGGTGCTTCAAGGTAACAATGTCCACTCTCTTGACAATACATATATGACAAGTGATGTTAAGGCAAGACAAGTTCTATTCAGTGGTTTACAACAGCAAGAGCTTATCAAAGTTAAGGACTGCAAAACAGCTAAAGATGTTTGGGACTCTCTTAAAACAAGACATGGAGATATACAACACACTGAAGAAGATAGAGTTGGAAAGTTGTTACTTGTATCTGAAACTGATGAAGATCAAAGAGAGTGTTCTCAGAATAGTTTTTCCAAGTATGTTAAGACACATCTCTCCACTGCATTCTCATTATCTCTCATTGTCTTCTACACACTGAATCTCAAGCCTAGAAGATCTATGTTAAGCACTAAGATGGGCAATGAATCTAAGTCAAAGCATAGTGAAGATTGTTCCCTCTCACAAGATCAAAGAAAACATGGTTCAAAACCAAAAGTCAGAATTTGCACAAGAAATTTTTTCATGAATATGAAGGTCAACACCATTCAATTAACAAGTTTTGATCACAAAGGTGTTTTGAAGAATATCAGGATCAATCAAGGCTGTTCAATCTTATGGTCTATCAGAATTGTTAAGGCAAAAAATTCTCACATCAAAATTAGAAATTCACTGAGCCACATGAGATTAGCATACTGAAAGTACAATGAAATTTCTATCAACAAGAAGCTTAAAGTTGCAGAAGATTCTCAATGTTTTACTCTTACATAAATAGCTTCATTAATAGAGTGTTCAAGACCATTGCCTCTAAGAGACAAGTCACACCATAGTGTTCATACAGGTGTCATTCACAGAAGGAGTTCATAAAACTTTTGTGTTTAGCTTTGGAGGAAGGAGACTTCTCTTACAAATTTCAATTATCACTCTTCAGGTCAAATAAGCCTCTCAGTTGTCTCTCCTCGACCTCCTCCACTAAGAGACAAGGAAGGTCTTATGAAGATATTTTTCTATTACTAGAATTTGGTTTGAAAAGCCAAGCTAGCTTGAAGTCACTAAAAATCAAAATGAACGTCTGAGTTACTAGTTTTGAGCTGAAAAGAAGAAGCTAAAGGGAGTCCAAATTGCAGAGATCAATTCTGGTGCTAGCCATGGCATGAGCAAATGTATTTCATCATTTCTCAACTGTTGAAGATGCTCATTTGTCTATAATCAAGCTGTTGCAAGTATTCATTCCTCAAACCTATACTAATCAGGTCTTTTACTTCTACTGAGTGCTGAAAATGTTATAGCATGCTGTTACTTCTAAGATAATCACATGGTTTCTAATATATGATTAAAGGAATAGAAGTCATGTCTGCACTGTTATGGTTTCCCATTTTATCCTTGGAGAACAAGTGTTTCTGCAGAAGCTCTGCTGAATCTGTTATGTTTCTATATTGTGATATTAACTTACATTGCATTGTGTGTTGAAGATATGAGCAAGTCTAATATGATTAGGCAAAGCTAAGGGTATTCTATTTGAGGATGTTTTGAAGTTATATCAAAGAAGGATTTCACAAACCTTGAAAGCTGTGGTTTGGAGTATTGTTGAGCCTACTCTTTTCAAAATATGGTTTACCTTACTGAAAGTGTTCAGTTTTATATCTGGGCAAGTTTATCTTTGCAATACAAGGCTGTGAAAGACACATTGTAGGGTTGGTCTATTGAACCATACATTCTAGGGTTTGCAGCAGAGAGGTTCAATTCATCATTCAAAGCTCTTAAATTGCAGTTTCTAGTTTTTTCAAGCTGCATTGTTGACAAACTCAGGTCACCTCCACTCAGAGACTGTCAATTGAACTAGCTTACTTTAATCAAACAATATGGTGTACATCATTTTAATGACAAAGGACATGGGTTTTAAGATTAGCCATCTGCAAGGGGCAATTTGGTCCTTCCACAGGTGTATGCAACCTTTCTATATATGCTAAGAATACTACATTACTCATCTGTAATGTTACTTAAGGATAAACTGATCTTATACAAGTGACAGCAAATACAGCCCCGTTGTGAGGGCATTTCTGGTACTTCAATGTTATTTTTGGCGTAATGACGGATTCACAATATAGTGCCACGTGCACTGTGGTCGTAGAGGGAGAGGAAAATGACAGAAACGTGTATTCTCAGCTGTGTGTATCAGCATTGTACAATGACTAAAGTAGGCTGCAGAAAAGGTGGTTTGTGTGACACAAGCTAGGGTTGCACAGGGGTTTTTTGGTCTATTCAATGTATACAATGTCAGAATATATTAGTATCTACGATTGGCCAGTGATGGAATATACTTATCCACACTAGGGCAGCAATTTCTTGGTATATATATGCTGTTATAGCAGCTGCAGAAAGTAAGCACAGAAACAAGCCCTTTTGAGACGCTGTGCTAAAGAGGACTCGAGACCAAAGAATGAGAGAGGTTCACAGAGATTTTAAATGATCATTTGAGCTGAAAATCAACTTTCAATTTAGTAGAAAATGAGCATCTCACAGGTATTCACAGAGGGCTGAAAGCAGTTTGTTTTTCTAGTACAATACAAAGGCTGTGGAGGTGAAAATTATTGGTGATTATTTCTTGGGCTGGAAAAAGGGCTGAGCATGTGCATTTAAGGCTTTTACATCTGTAGAAGGAACCCACTCAACGAAGATTAAGTTGGTATTACTTTTCATATCTCAAACCTGCTTTAATTTGATTTTCTGGTGCATAGCTGCTGTGATTGTACTTAACTGAGCTGAATCTTGATATTACATGGTTCATTAACTCTTGAACATGCTTACAATGATTTATCAAAGGTGTACAACCTGTGGTTCATCTCAGAAAGTAAAACCCTTGTACACTAGGGTTTTTGGCTGTTTCAACTTGTGTTGTGAAGAAACTCTAATATATCTTGCTAAATAAGTCCTGTCCATCATTTGAGCAAGTTTATATATGTGATTCAAGTTTTAAGAAATTGAAGCAAGGACTGTGCAGCTACGAATTTTCCAGAATTACCCTTTGACGGCAGGTTTTAGCAGAAATCAACTATGAACAGTTTTTGGGGCTGAGATTGAAATACCTGTTAATGTGTTTTTCCTCTGAATTTTTGTGTGAAGATAAACTGAGTACGTGAGAGTATTTTCCAGGCTTAAGACACTGTAAATTACCATTTATACCCTCTGATCTGAGGTATCACAGTAGCAACAAAAATAGACCTGCAGAGAGCTATTTGGTTAAAAAGAAAAAAAGATTAGACTACTCAAGTTCAAAGGAGATCTGTGTTGGAAAGAAATTATGAGGGAATTATCTTCTCATACAAAATTGCTTATATCTACTTTAGGAATGAATAATTTAACAATAAAGTTTTTTTGGAAGAGAAGTACAAAACAGAAGTTCCCACCAAAACTACTAATTTAGAACCCATAGAACTCATCTAACTAATGTGAGAGACCAATATTTGCCCCCAAACAACATGTTGCACAGAAAACATATTACTGATAGAACAATGGCTTTTGACAGCTTCTAAAAGCAATGTCCTATATAGCATAAAAAAAGAGAAATTAGAGCAAATTTCTTAATTCACAAGGTGAATGGCTCTGTTAGAATGGTATTGTTGCTTGTGGACTCTAGATGGAAATGACACGCTTTTCTGACCTTCCGGCTCATAATTTGCATGCTCTTCAATAAAAAGTTAATTTAATAAAGGGATGCAAAAGACAAAAGTTTTACCTTCGTGACTTCAACCAAGCAGTCATTTTTAGCAAATACTAAATTCTTGATTTATTTCCCCTTGAAATGTTAGAATAGAACGGTTCAAGCAGCTGATCTAGAAAAAGAAATAAATGAATAGAGCAAGTAGAAGCTTATATATACATCAAGCACATCATGGAGAGAAGTATTTTGCCTCCATTAACAATCTTACAATATTTCGACGACGTAGATCAAAATTCGCATTAATAGACATTGGTGCAATAAAGATGTATAATGTATAACCATTCTAGCAAACCATATTAATCCCTTTAATCTTCAAAAAAGAATGAATAATAATGATAGCAAACGAACTAGATCATAGTACAATCAAGGCAAACAAATATCAACATGGAATTCAATATGTGAGTTTTTGTTCTTCTATAGAAAAATATATTTTGTCAATCATTTACTTAAAAAAATGGGGGAAGAACTAGTCATTAAATCTCTGCGCTGATCAAAACTTTGAAAATAATGCAGGTTTTCACATTGGTTGATCCTAGAAATGATAGATATAATAAAAGGAAAAATCACAAGAATGTAATGCATTTTTCTTGATGCATTATGAGTCGTTCTGAATAAATATTTTTTCCTTCACATGCAGAAAATTAAAATTAAAAAGTAAAGAAACAAAAGAAAAGCTCTCTCTCATCTGTGTTGAACATCTAATTAACCTCCAGGAGAGAGATCATACTCAATTATCTTAAAGAAAATTTAAATTGAACTCCCAGTTACAAATTTTAGTTTTCAGTCGATCAAATTAAGATATAATTTTCTAATATAAGATAAAACATTATAGAAAAATAGATAACCAGTAACAAATCAAATTCAAAATGAACTGAAAAGTTCAACAAAAAGAAGAATGACGAGAGGAATGAAGGATAAACTAGGTGAAGAGAAGAGGGGAATTCACTGGACAGTCACAGAAATTAGATTAGAATCACATAAATAGGTGACTATAACATGGTACCTTCGTCCTTGCTCGCTCACTGGTAGAACTGGTCGTTGGTCTTCGTCACTGATCGCCAGTCGTTGGTCTTCGTCGGTCGCTGCTCACAGGTCACTGGTCTTCGTCAGATTAAGATTCTAAATTCTGGTCAGCCTACAGATGACGGTATCTTCTGCGGGTTTTTTCTGTGTCTTTTGTTGCTAAAAAAAAGAAGAAAATAGATGAGAGTTCAGAAAAGGAAGAGATCGAGAAGAAGAACAGAGACGAGAGTTCAGAGATGAACAGAGATGCACCTGAGAAATTTTTCTCTAAAGGTGAAACTCGCCAAAGACGAAGCTCCCGAAAAATTCGTGCTTGGACTTAGAGAGGATTAGGGTTTCATATGGATTCAAGAGAGAGAGGGGTGTTTTGGTTGATTGATGCGTACGAAGTTTGGGAGGAGAAATGAATTTTTTTGCGCGCCGCCTGATGAAAGCCGGGAAAATGAAATTTTCACAAAAAGACACTTAACCCTATTCTATAATGGGCCATGCGGGCCTGTTATAGAAGAATACCTTTCTACAATGGGCCATGCGGGCCTGTTATAGAAGAATACCTTTTTACAATGGGCCATGCGGGCCTGTTGTAGAAAGCACTTTCTACAAGGGATCTATGGGCCTGTTGTAGAAAATGTGTTGTAAAAGACCCATTTTCTTGTACTGAAACTCTTCCTTCCAATCTCAAGTATACCTTTTTAGGTCCAAAAGAGATTCTACCGGTCATCATTTCTTCAAACCTTGAAGATGACCAAGACAATGATCTTTTAAATGTGCTAAAAGAAAATAAGGAAGCTATTGGATGGAGTGTGGTGGATCTAAAGGGAATTGACCCTTCTATTTGTATGCATCGCATACTTATGGAAGAGGATGCAAAATCTTTTAGGGATGCTCAAAGGAGATTAAATCCAAACAAAAAAGAGATAGTCAAAAAGGATATTGTTAAACTTTTGGATGCCGGTATAATTTATCCAATCTCTGATATCAAATGGGTGAGTCCAACTTAAGTAGTTCCCAAGAAATCGGGGATTACGGTGGTTGAAAATTCAAAAGGTGAGGCAATTTCTAAGTGTACCGCCAATTCATGGCGTATATGCATTAATTACCACAAATTAAATGCCGCCACTAGAAAAGATCACTTTTCTTTGCCATTCATTGATCAAATTCTAGAGAGATTGGTCCGGCAATAATATTATTGCTTTCTTGATGGCTATTTAGGTTACAATCAAGTAGCCCTGGACCCTTTAGACCAAGAGAAAATCACCTTTACTTGTCATTTTGGCATATTTGCTTATCGACGGATGCTTTTTGGTTTGTGCAATGCTCCCGTAACATTCCAAAGGTGTATGATGTCAATTTTCTCGGAAATGGTAGAAGAGTATCTAGAAGTCTTTATTGATGATTTTTTTATCTTTGGGTCTTCATTTAATGCATGCCTTAAAAATCTATCTTTGGTGTTTAAAAGATGTCGTGAAACAAACATTGTTCTTAGTTGGGAAAAGAGCCATTTCATGGTTCAAGAAGGTATTATTTTAGGTCATGTCATCTCAAAAAGGGGTATCGAGGTGGATAAAGCAAAAGTTGAGCTCATTTCTGAATTGCCTCCGTCTTCCACGATGAGAGAGGTTTGCTCCTTTTTAGGTCATACCGGCTTTTATTGCCGTTTTATCAAAGACTTTAGCAAAATTGCTAGACACTTGTGCAATCTTCTCACCAAGGAGACTCCTTTTGTCTTTAATCAAGCATGCCTTAATGCTTTCCATACACTTCGTAGTTAAATGTCATCTGCTCCTATTATGCAACCTTCCAATTGGTCATTGCCGTTTGAAATTGTGACGACCCTGGTTTTTTAGGCCAGTGTGTCCTGTGATGAACCGAAGATTAACCCGATAACAGATCCGATAAGCGGAAGCGAAAACAGAAAACAAGACTCTAAGAAGTCAAAGTGACCTTCCATGAGGTCGTGTAACTCAATGAGAACTGATGCGGAAGCAAAAGGTCAAAAAAATATGACAAATAAGCCCCTAGGGGCAAAATAGTCATTTTTGAAAGTACGGATTCCGGTGCCACTGAGCACACCACTGGACAACGAAAAACTAACCAAGATGGACTCAAGAGTCACATGATTCGGGGTCCAGTTGATGAAGATATGAAACTCCAAAGTTTCATAAAATCAAACTTTTGGGTTTTTAAGACAAGTGCGGCAATGGTACTTTACAAGAGGTAAACTGATCTTTTTAGACGAAACCAGATGCAACTGAGAATACCATTAGATAGAAAAGGAAAAACTAATAAATCAAGACTTAAGAATCACTTGATTCGGAGTCCAGGCAAAGAAGATATGAAGCCTCAAAGTTTCAAAAAAATAGACTTCTGGGTTCAAATCAATGTGGCAAGGGCTATTTGCAAGGGGTAAGATGGTCTTTTTAGATAGAATTGGATGCAACCATCCATACCTTTGGATAGACCAGCAAAAACTAATAAACTTAGACTCAAAAATCACTTGATTTGGAGTCGGGACGAAGAAGATATGAAGCCTCAAAGTTTCAACAAAATATCAACTTTCCGGGTTCAAAAATCTGGGCAGGAATAGTGTTTTGACAGAAAGCTCCAATTAAATTTTTTCCCAGAACCAAGGCTAAAAACGAACCCTTAAACGAGTTTTTCTGGAAAAACACGAAAAAGAAACCCCCCTTAAAATCACGTTTTCTACCCGACTATGCAGAAGAAACCAAAAAAAATACGATGTAAAGTCCCTAAAATGCCCCTTGAACAGCCTAAGTCAAGATGGACCCAAAAAGCTGCTACAAGCATTTTTTTCCAGAAACAACCAGAACAGAGAGTAAAAACAGGCTAGTAGATGAATTTTTCTGGAAAAACATAAAGAAGAAACCCCACTCAAAATTGAGAGAATTAAAAAAAAAAATGCAATGTAGAATGCCCGAAATGCCCCTCCATGAAATCTGGTTATGGAGGTCCAAAAAGCTACTAAAAAAAAACAGAAAGCTGAACTTTGTGATCGATTTTTGGCACCAAGACGACATTTTCTGGAAAAACACAAAAAAGAAACCCCCCCTAAAATCACGTTTTCTATTCAACCATGTTGAAAGAATGAAATAAAACTGATGTGAAAGGTCCAGAACGCCCCTAGATCAGATTATGCAAAAAAAGTGCAAAATGAATTCACAAGAGGCTCAAAACACAAACGATAAGGTTTTGCCCGGAAACGACCATGCACACAAACGTAACTTACCTATTTGGATGTGCTACAATGGTCCACGACTTAAAAACATAGCCGATGCAAAATCCGACCCTCCAACAGGCAAAAAGGCAAAAATAGACTTAGAATGGAAAACATGGAATCCAAAAATATAAAACGGGATCAAATGACCGTTTGGCCCTTGGCCACACTTCATACAAGATTAATAAGACCCTATAAAAGAATGAAAATGGAATTTCCACACCCGATGCAACCATGGTGAAGCAATGACTTGCAATTTTTCAAGATTTTCACAATATTTCATGAAGTTAAAAAGTACATAGAACACAATATACATGTCATTGGCCTCCGGCCTCATCTCATACATGTCAAATACATTGAAAGGAGTGCACTTATGTACACATTACATACATGGAATCAAATATACATATTTTGACATATAAGTCTACAAAATGACATTTCATGCTAATATTTGCATGAAATGGAAACTTGAAAGTTACACGACATCCAAGGAATGCTAGGCTTCACGAACCAAGTCTTCGTACCTGAAATATGCCCAGTATCGTAGGGGTGAGTAACATAAAGCTACTCGTAGGAGATGAGCATGCATCGACCTAGCATTTTACAACTTTATCACCTTAAGGTGAAACATATTAAAGGGGTTCATGCCACCTAACGTCTATGTCCAAGTGAGACTCGGGGAACATCCCAAGCTACCTTAGAGTCTAAGCAACAAGAATCATGATATACATATATGTATGAAACGAATCATGATTGGGATAATCCAAAGAACACGACAAGAAGAATGCTTGAGCATAGATTAACATGAATTGCATTTTCAATACAATTAAACTAGGTTTAGAGTAATCCATACAACATGACAAAAGCATATTTGAATACAAGTTAACAAGAATCACATTATCCATGCAATTCAACAACAAAAGAGCATGTTATACAATGCAACAAGGTTTAAGATCTCAAAGCCATCAACTTAGAATCTAAAGCACAAAATAACAGTAGTGGTTCATGCCACCTAACGTCTATGTTATAAATAAATCAATAGGATCAATCCTAAGCTTTATTAGAACGTTAAAACACGATTTTCAATATCGATGCAATTTAACCAACATTGGAACTTCCAATACAACGCATAAAGCACAATTTCGCAAAGTTAACATCCTGTAACTTAAAATGGAACGACAAATAAGAAACAACAAGTTACAACATCATCTAGTTATCAACTTGAAAATGAAATGCGAAATCAAACAAAGTGGATACTCGGACGTCACGCCGGATCAGACCGACAACATAGTTACTTTAGGGTTACTAGCCCATGGGTAACCTCCCTATGTGCACACTAGACTATATAGAGGGACTATCCCCCGTACTAGAACCACGTCCTACCCATAGTCAAACAACGACATCCCCAAGTTTCCAAAATCAACAAGTTGTGCAACAATGCATATATCAACAAGAATATGCAAGATAATCAACTATCTACCAAGCACAACCAATTTGGAAACCTATACAATACATGCTCTAAGTCCACAACTAATATAATGTAATGAATGTCGAATCTTTAGTGTGCGATTTGTTACACGCTATGCATGAATGATGTTAAATACGAAATGTGCAAATCATTACACAAGGCAACAATATATTCAATAAGGAAAACATATTCTCATGAGTATAAACATAGCAACTATGTTATCCAATGCTCAAAACATAACCAAATGAATATACAACAAGTCCATGTCTAGGATTTTGATATAGAAACGACTTTCAAACACAATTAAATCCATGGCTCAATTCGATAGAATTTAATTAAATAAAAATAATTAAATTCCCTAGATTCAAATTCAATTCCAAATAACCTCAAATTAATACATATTAAAGAACATGGCATGGTCATCACCTATATCCATTCTAAAACTCAATTAGGTTATTATAACAACAAAGTAGAACTCTAATTAAATCATGCTAATTTAATTACCAAGGTTCTAAAGCAACTTCAAATGGTCCACAATTAATATATACTAGTAAACAAGTCGTGGCCAATACAAATATGAAGTTAAAATCTTAATTAAGCTAATGGGACCACAAAATAGATTTTAATTAATTCTTTTAATTAAAATCTCTAAATTTTCAAACTTAACCAAATGCTCTCAATTTAACATATCTTAGAGAACATCCCTAGGACTAATGTAATATCACATT